AGAAGGAGCGAGAGAGACATAAAATCGACGACGATGTGTATTGAGAAACTCGGGTTTCTGATGTGTCAGTAAGGTTCTGTAGATTATTTGCTTTGAAGTTTTGTTATTTTTTTCATAAAGCCGTGTTATTTTCACGAAACAATAAAATACGGACTTATACAATGATATTAATAATCTAAGTATCTCTCTTATTCTTAGTTTAAATGATAATTAAATAAAGGTTAGTTGTAATGGAAAGGTCTAATAATAAATAATATTTCTTGACGCGGAACCCCAAAATCGGTACACTTTTGATTTAGGTACATTGGTGTTCGAGTTGCAATAATAATAACCTATGTAGTTTTGGTCATCGCGTCAGTCGCGTCCGTGACTTTCATCGGCGTACTTGTGAGTTTTCAGAATTTAGAAGGTCAACTTACGTTTTCGTTCTTTCGGGACTTTTGGTTTGTTTTTCATTCTCGTTCTGTTTACCTGTGTATTATGTTTGTGTGCGGTCAGTGCAATGAATTCGTACTCAAATGCCTAATATTACGAGATGATAATGTGTGCCGGTGCTTGTGACTGGTTCATTCCATAGTGTGCCACAGGTAGGCCGGCCGATCACCTATTCCATCGAGACAGAGGATATGACTTTACGTCGAGAGTAACACGACACGGTCTGTGTCGAGTCGAATGGAGATGTGTGTTTTATGCGGTGGCTGGCATATCGAGACCCTGGACTGATAAAGTGGAGGTGAAGTGTAGGTAATGTTGACAAGTGAAAGCTGAAAGAGTGATTAGAACGCTATAGGTATGTACCTATTTAATCTTAACTTGTTTTAATTACAAGTAAACTCATACGTAGTCGAGTGCGCGCGTCGGCAACATCAAAATGTATTCAAGGAAACGAAAGAGTGAGAGGTAATGAGAGAGAGAGAGAGAGAAAGAGCGAGTGCGCCGGGACGGCACGTATAAGCTTACAGGGTTGTAGCATAGTAATTGAAAACAAATTGTTCAAATATTTGTATGAAAATATCAATTTACATGAAATTGTTTTTTGACCTATCAATTGTGTTCTTTGTGCTAGGTTGTATGGCCATGTTTCGGGATTATACAGGTATTACCAAACACGCTATATAGAAAACACCTTTTGTCTGGTATATGGTGTCTATATATATTTTTATGCAAAACACCGATGTTATTTCAAAAGCGACTATAAAATTTTCATAAGCTTTTATGGGATAATAAAGTCTAACAAACGCCTGCTTACAATAAAAACGACGTGCTCGCCTAAAGTTACTGATAAGCTGATATTCTATGACATTGTTGTTTAAAATAGAGAGGTGGTGTAAAATACTTATCAGAAATACAACTGAATTTAAGATAATAATCATAAAACATAGCTCATAAATTAAGGTCTTACGATATTAAATTTAAACTAAATATTAAATAAGGCTTTACGATTTTAGTAGGTAGATAATGTTAGTTAAAGCGTTATCACCAACCAAAGTTACCATAGATTAGACCCACACGAGTGTACCATGATACACCCCAGATAGCAAGCAAACTTGGGGCACGTTTGATTTTCTTTGATTCTTAATTGCTGCGTCAAATATGACGAAGTAAGTTAAAAATGAAGTTTCAAGTTTGCGACAATATTGTTTGAATATTGTTATGACAAAGATGTAACACACCCATCATCTTCATAGGTGCCCGAATAGTTCTAAGTCTGCAAACTAGATGGCGCTGTTCATTTAATGCATCGCGGTATCAGTTTATATTGTTAGTTTGTATAAGTACAATAATATGCTGTTTAATGTCATCTCTCCCCCCCCTCTTGCGGGAGGGCAGTCGCTCCGGTCGTTGCCTCCGGGCATGTAATCAGCTGTCCAAGGCGGTGTTTAGTCAGTAGGAGTCTAACATAACCTCACAGCCGGCTGTGTGGTATCCAATGAAAGATTCACCGCCTCCTTCCCCCGTTGGGAGGGTGGTGAACGAAAAAAAAGTAATCTTATATAGGATTTGAAACCAACCGTTCCAGTTAATTACTTTGGCTCTTAGGCTAGGCTCTGTGCTGTGGTCTGAGTTTAAAGTCGCTTTGTCAAAACTTTTGGTCCAAAAGCGATTGGGCCAAAAGTTTTGAATGATCAAAAGATTAATAAAAACTACTACGGTATAGTAATGATAATTTTCCTAGGTACACTTGCACTACCTTTGATACGTCAAAGATAGTGCAAGTTTGTCAAACTGAAACTAGAAAGTTTGATTTAAACTTGCTGCAAGTTGCTACAGTTGTCATAGTAACCTTGAAGCAAGTCTTCTTTTTTGATGTATCAAATTTGTTGCAAGTCAGAAACAAGTTAAAATTGCTATCTGGGACGCGTAGGTACCTAGCAGACGAATTGATTCAGGCTTCAGGTAATACCTTGTAGTTATATTGAAACAAATGAATGTAAGTACCTACTAAATATTAATAGTGTGTTTGTGTTAACAGTGTATATAAGGTACCTGGGTCGAATATGGCCACGTTAAGGTTTGTAGTCCTTTTTTAATAATAATAAAGCTAAAACAAATTAGTTTTAGCACACATTCATAAAGAGTGGCTATTTATCTTTACAATAAAGGCAAAAAAATACAAAGACTTGAAACCACAAAAAGTAATTTCAACATTTTTTTTAAATTTAGAATTTGTTCATATTTCCGATGGGGTAGGTAAATATGCCCTGTATGTGGCCATATTTACTGTATCAATTTACATATTTAAAAATCTTCTAAATAATATGAAATAAAAAGGGATATTATGTTTTACTAGAGCATTTATTTAATAAAATATATTCTTTGGGCAATATGTACAAATAAAGAAACAAGAAATTGAAAATCAACATAACAATGAGATACAAATTGTTTTTCTTAAACGCAATTACGTAGGACACGTTGTGTTAATGGGTATCCCACGTTGCACAGACGAATAACTCGGGATGATAAAATTTTCTCTTGATCAGGGTTAAGAAGTGGTTTCGGTCCCAAAGTAGTTTTTGTTTCTTTTTTCTATGGTAAATAACGCCTTAAAGTACACTATGGCACATTATAATGATTTGCAGCCGTATTTTCTTTCATCTTAGCGCTTTTGACTGCAGTTAAAGTTTGTTTTATTAATGCTTCTGATCAATTACCTCGAATCCCTTTTGCTATATAGCGCGGCATAGTCTAAAACAAAAATTTGTTAGTATTTTTTTTCTTTTGTTTTAGTACCGGAGATATGGCCAAACACTGGCCATATTTGCCGTCGCGCATGTTCACGTTTTCATATTTATGAATGAAAAACCCACTATTATTTTGATAATTAAACAAAGAAATATCAAATTACAATCGTCACACAACATCGTAATATGATTTACAAATATTCTTATTCGAAGAATAATAAAATACAGAACAATACTTACTTAATTTTTTTATAACCTGTACAGTTGTTTTGCTTTAACCGACACTGGACGACCAGCAGGGCGCGGGAAGGGTTAACAGGTACTCCGTTCGGATACATGCGACACTAGCGACAATTTATGGTCGCGTTTAGGTTATTAAAATATTTAGTGTTTGTAATACTGGTATGTGGCTATATTTTTCGGCTGGCCATATTCGACCCAGGTACCTTATTTTCAAAAAGTTGATGATAGAGTTCATCTCACGAAAGAAGTCTCCGGATACTTTCGCTTTTATTACTAAGGAATAAGAGTTATGCCGCAGGACTTCTTTTGTGAGACACTACGCCTAACTCTTTTGTCATGACTCTAGCCAAAATTAATTAGCGATGTTAAGGCGATATTTATTCCAGTAATTGAGAAATATCAACTCCTACGTAAATAGCATTGATAATATTTAAAATCTGAGTTGGATAAGGATCTAAATTCGAATAATCAAAAGTGGTTGCTATGTATAAAACTTACACTACCATTTCTATCCAAACTATCGCTATGAAGCGCCATCTAATTACATCAACCTACTTTTATGTAAGGTCATGTAACAAACACAAACTATTTCTTGGTTGGAAAATGAAACCAAAAAACCAAAAAAAAAGGAATATAAAACAGTTCGTATAGATTTTTAAAATTAAGTATTATATACAAAACAATTACATACAAGGCGTATGTAATTGGGTTCTAATTTATATGTAGCACATAAGTAGACATTTCACATTTATACGTTTGCATGTTTCTTTTATACTACTGATTTATATCATTAAATTTAGATGATAGATGATAATTTTTCACGAAATGACATTCAGAAGGATCATATCGCGTTAATTAAAATTTCAAATGAGGATGTATTTAAAAAAAAATTGGTTCCCGAAATCAAACTAGATGTCGCTACGGTATGTTCTTGGTTTCTCCATGACTACCCTTCCGGCTTTCTTTCATGTTTAAAAGGAAATTAGTTTTCAAAACTCAATAAACAACTCATATTCTATTTATACTTTTTTGTATTTGTATTGATATCTAAGTTTCGAACTTTTCAAATTTCTGTTTTTTAATACGTTGGTTAAAAGGAACGGAAATGACTGTCTTTGGTCCATTCGTTTGCTGCAAAAATCAACTTTTGCTAGAGTCGCCATCTAGTGGAGGTGCTTTTTTTAGTGCTTTCGTTTTTTTTAAATACTTCCTCATTACGAAAAATTAATAATAAAAAAGAAATGATGTTAAAGACCAAAGACAAAAAGTTTGCTCTCGACTTTCACAAGTGCATGTGCAGCCTAGACTGAATAAATAATTTTGATTTTTTTGATTTTACGGTGTAGTAAGACTGCTCGCACTTCACAACAAGTCTGGCAAACAACACAAATTTTGATGTTTGTTGCCTTTGATGCACATGAAAGACCGACACACGATGGTAAATTTCAAATGTGTATTCAATCTGCACATATTAGGAAACACTCGTATCAATCTTGACATTCCTAATTCTATATTTGCACACATGTCTGGCACACACTTTACATCATGTTTCTGAACGTATAGACTTGTACGCCATCTTTGATAAATTTATTAGGTTGGTATCACTGTCTTCATTCAATTTCAAACGGTTTTCGAATGTGTAGTGTTTTATGGCGTTTGTCAAATTCGTAAAAGTTTCGTGAAAGTGGAGTCTTCTGAGCAATTATGTCAATTTTTAATGAATTGCTACCTAAACTCAATGAGATATCAAATACTATTGCTAATAATTTCAATGACGACCTGAAGGTAAAGAAATTGATGCGTTTGTATACCTGAGAATTCGCCTTGCAATTCTTTCACTTTATCGGTTTCTTCAAATGTGGTTTACGGTGTTTTCCCAATGTGATCGAGATGTGTGATTGTGTTATTAAGAGTACAAATGTTTGTGGCTTACAGGCTGTATTTGAGTGTTTGGATAAGTTTGAAGAGGAATATCAAAATGGCAGAGGAAGAACGCGGGAGAAGGCGCAAAAAGATAAAATGACGACCCTTCAAAGTATCAATGAGGATGATGGTTAGTTGCCTTTTTATTTTAATCAAAGTTAGTTGCTAATTCTTTTATTTAGAATTATTGTTGTCTTAACTGATTTTGATAACTTTACTCATTCGTGCCAGTTCTTATATTTTCCATCATCATATTTAATTTACAAACTACATAAATTCTGCGTTTACACTGAAATAAATATGCATTATAATTATAGTAGAGCTGTATTGTAATAAATAGGTATGTTGAAACTTAAACTCTTCCAAATATTTGTTTTCTAGATGAACTGAATAAGAAAACTGAGACAGTGTTATCAGTTGACATATCTAAAAGTGAATCAGTCACCCGCAGCTCATTAGAAAGTAATAATAATGAGAAACCAAGAAGAGTATCAAAGAAACGCAGCAAACATGAAATGGATGACATATCAAGTCCAGAACAGGACAAACGTCAAAAGAGGAATGCATCTGTAAAAGCTCAGAGCATTATCAGCAAACAGGTAAATAAGCTTCTTATGTTGTTAAAAGTGACACAAAGATTCAAAGCAAAATCTTAAATGAAAAAAATATTAAATGAATAGGAGAATGCAGTAGATGTTCTCATAGTAGTTGTCATAAAGTATTTTTTTAAACTTAAACAATTTAAACTGTGTTGGAATTAAATTTAATCTAACAGGAGTATATTCTCATTGAATTTTATATATACCTTTATTATTGTTGTATGGTAAAATGTTGAAACCAATATTTGAAATTGCAGAGTTTTAAATATTTGGAATCTGTTAATTTCCTCAAATGAGATTCCATGTAAACAATTTTTAGATAACCAAAAATTTCACCTAAACCAATTAGCCTTCCAGCCTTATTTGTTATAATAAAATTCATAAATGTTAATATAAGAGTATCAGCATCTAATGAAATATTATATTTAAAATATAAAAATGATACTTAATATTTTAAATATAATAATAATTTTTCAATAACTTTTGTTTCAGGTAAATGTAAACTTAAACCAAAAACTACGCAGAGATGTCCCCAATGAAACATCTAAAGGCAACAGGAAAAAGGATGAAGAAAACAAAGAGAATACAGAACCAGTGACGCCAGTCCAAAGTTAGTATCTTTTTATTATGTTATATAATAAGTATTCTGATTGGATAGTGTAAGAGCTCAAGACCAGTGGTGGGTACAAAATAAGCTTTTCTAAACTTAAGCCAACGGTTTCTAGAGGAAAGGGAATAAAAGTTCTTACTTTTTGTCTCTTGACAAGAGTCAATATATGTAAAAATTTTAAGAAAGATAAATAGGTTGATATCTAGCTATGTTTCCGTTTTGTATTTTCATACTTGTTCTTAGCTTTTTAGTTATTTGTATTACCAGAAAAGCTAGCTGTAAGAGGATTTACATTTGAGGGGTCTACTTTCAAAACATTTCTGCTTATGTGCTACTCTCATTTTTCAAAATACACCAACAATGTCATCAAGTTATTAAGTGAAACAATTTACCTATTTTAATTTTATTAACAGTCAAGCAGGAAAAAATATCACTACCTATGGAACCTATGGACATGGAACCTTTGCCACTTGATGCCATTAAACAAGAGGTGGATAAAGATGAAATTGCAATGCCGCCACCGATGGCTCCCGTTCCTAGTGAGTATTTATCTGATAAATGAACTACAAAACTAAATTTTTACAAAATGTGTAGATAGTAAATGAAAGTAAATACTAATTAATTTTTTTTGTACTGTTTTACCGAAAAGAAGTTGCCTATACCCCTATGTTACTGTTTTATCGGAAAATACTTTCAGGATATAGGCTATAATTTATGCAGGCGTAGTTGCAGGGAAAAGGGTAATTTGATAGAAATTGGTTCACAGATCAAAATCTATGAACAAATCAGAAAGGATGATTTTAAAGTAGGTATTACTTTAAAATCATCCTTTCTGATTTTGATTCATCAAAATATTTAAGTGATATCTAATGGAAAGCATATTTTGTTTTGTTATAAAAGATCCTATTACTGATTTGATCTTTTTGACTGATTTTGAACTTTACTGTTAACAAATTATATTTTAAAATTCATAAGAGGACTTATTTTATATTCCAATTGTAATAATTTTACGTGCTGTCAACTCGGACACTTTTCTGATTGTCTTGTCGCAAAATGGTTCCAATTCAGCCTGTACCACTATCTAAAATAAATAGCAATAGTATTGATTTGTTTTAATGTTACTCTACAGTCATGGGTAATCAAAGAAGCATAATCATACTCCTGTATATTATAATCACAAATGCCGTTTTACAGGACCAAGCCTAAATTAAGTCTAGTTTGTGCAACAGAATTACTACCATTATTTATTGCTTTAGAACCACGCAAAGGCGCCGCAAAGGAGAAAACTGAAGTAAATATAGAAAGTAGCGAAGATGAATCTTCTACGAGAAGTCGACGCTCCACCAGAACTAGGAAACAAAACGACACTGCACCAGGTATAATACTATAATAAAACTGATTAAGTTTTATATGCATGTGTTTATTCATATTGTTATTGTATTAGGGTTAAATAAACATTTATCGCTTGTCTGTTGCAACTAGTAGCGGCGCCCCGATCTACTCGGGCCAGTTCCCGCGCCACTAAGCAGCCAGACCCTGAACAAGTACCACCACCACCAGACACCAGACCCAAGCGAACTCGCGGCAAGAAGGTATTTAAGCATTAAAAATTAATAATAAAAAAATCATATTAAGATTAATTTATGACGGAACTAAATCAAGGTTGATTATTTAATTAGTTTTCCTATTTTGTTACCTTATATTCTTCTGTGTTATAAAATCGATAATAACTACTGACTATGATATTCCAGAAAGTATCAGAAGTTCCTAAAGATACAGAAAGTGAGAAAGATGTAACGCAGCCATTGCAAGAAAGTGTAACAGGTATGTTTATTAAAATGTATATACAATTGATTATAATGGTTTATAATATACCTAATATGATATCTAAGAATATGTTGCAATAAATTATTATTTATTTATGAATTTCTGAGTAGCTCGGTGGCGTGTTCGGAGGGTATTAACGACTGCAAATGCAGCCGGAACCAACGGCTTAACGTGCCTTAAGAAGCACGAAGTAGCTCGAAATAATAATTTTTTGGTCACCCATCCCGTGACCGACCCTTTCGAAAGTTGTTTAACAACAACGATCGCGGGCCGCAGCGCTTATCCTCTCCGCCACCGAGTTACTGGAATTGAATTTGAATTTATGAATTTGTATCATCATAATTTATGTAACTCATATTCTTATAGTGGCATCCCCTGCAGAGAAACCAAGACCAAAAAGAACAAGGAGAGGTAAAGCGACGTGAGTATATGAATTTGTATATCTTGAATAAATAATGCTGAATAATATTGGGATATTAGTTTCTACATAATGTATTATTTAAAAAGCTATGTACTTGACTAGTTTTGAAAATGATTTTATTACTATAATTTCTGTAATATTTATCAATGTATGCAAAAAAAATTACAAAAATAAACTCATTTTTGTAGTGAAAAAGAACCAAAGCAGGAAGAAATCCCTGAACTGATACAGGCTAAAAGCGAGCGCATATCACAGACAGAGGAAACAAATTCGAATCATTCACCAATCCTACAGCCTAAAGAGAAAACAAAATCGAACCTCACTAAAGAAGCTATAAAGACCAAAGTCGTTGAAAACAGTACAAATGAAATCTACACAGTAGATGGAACAGTGACACAAACAAACATACAGCTGGATGAGACTAGAATTATAAGTACTAATGTGGAAATGGATAAAACTGTTGTCATACCAAATGGGGTATACAATCATGCACAGTTAACGCCTAATAATATTGTAAGTATTGAAAAAATCTACTATGTAAAAAGTTATTCACTTGATTTTAGTCTTAATTTTTGAATGAATAAGCAAAATAATCCAAAGTGTATCAATAAAAGCATGATGTTCGTCCTATTATCACTTTCTAGTTTTGGAGCAAAGCTTTAAGACTATGTCAATATTGTCATCTTTAGGCTATTCAAACATTTATCTTGGTCAAATTAAAAGATTTTTCAAATGTGTATTTAGAGACTTAGGGATTGGGTTGTGTTTTTAACAATGACAGATTGAGGTTTAAACATTTATTTTACAGTATGACAACACTGCATAATGTTTTTTATTAGATTTTTAATAAAGTATATCGCTTTTAGCGCACCATGAACGAAACTGTTGTACTAGAGACGTGCAGTCGTGAAACTATAGTAATAGAGAAACAACACGTGCTGGACTCTACAGTAGTCCTCGATAAAGGTAAGACCGTTAATTTATTTAATTTGTTATATTTTTAATCTATTTGAAGTGACGGCTAATGTATACGGAACTCAGAAATCCGCTGAACGCGTCATAATCTCGTGGCATCTGTGAACCCCAATTAAAGTTTTATGATTAGATCAAGGGACCCCCATCTATGACCAGATTGTATCTCATTGACCGTGATAGTTATACAGTTAAAATTTTTATAGATGAAGTATATATATTACCGGTGTAACGATGAATACTTCAGAACAGAATATAATAGATAGATAACTCTTTATTGTTGACAGTACACTATTTACAGAAACCAATATAAATAGAACTTAATTAATATGCAAACAATTGGCGGCCTTTCAATTAGCGATTTCTTCCAGGCAACCTTTGGATGGAGAAAGAGATAGTCATTATAACGGAAACGGGGGTGTACATGTGAACATAATAAGTATTTAAGGGCGCTCCCATATGACGAATGTGATTTTTCTAACTTTTTTTTTATAGATAATTTTTTATAGGTTTGCTCTTGACCAGTTTTTTTTTCTATAAAATATCGATTTATTTTTTATTTTTATATTTGACGAATAGATCCCAAGTGTGCGGCAACGATGTTGACAGACGACAACTCCATTATGACTGACGACAACGACGAGCCCTCCACGCCGCCGCAACAACCGCCGCCGCTAACGCAACCCACGTGAGTATATTATATTATTCATATAGTCTAGCTAGACTCTGTCGAAGCACTCGTGTTGGGGCAAAAAACCCCAAAGACGACAGTAGGCCAATAATTATATAGTACAACGGACAAATACAAGTAGTCTATATTCTATAGCAGATTTGGCGTCGCTGTTACTAGCCAATGTTTTTTATCAATAAACACGCCAGTGTAAAGTAGCCATAATTTGCTGGCGATTTAATTCAGGCACATATACACATAAACTACATATAGCTCATCCCATAGAACAAAATGTAACCATCCTAAATCCGACTATTTTGTCTTGAGTCGGTGCTTGATACCGTAAGTGAATAAGCAACACCTGGGACTTGATTATTCTATGGATTTTCGCATAAACGTCAATAGATGGCGTAGATTCGTAGCACACCATAAAAGAACTTTAATATAGATACACATTATATATACCCTACCTATAACAGTCTACTATTAAATGAAAGTTTTTTTCTTTTTTATTTTTGTTTTAAATTGTCAATCGATAAAAACACCAAGAAAATTTAGAGAGAGCATTAAAACCATTTTTCCGAGCTTATACTGATTAGTATATATTCTGGATTTACACAAACTTAAAATATTGAATGAGATACGTAACGCCGTCTATTGTGGTTTCTAAGAACAAATATTTTTTTACTTAGCTATGAGACCCCATGGTTCAGGTGATGTCTTGATATTTAGTTAATGAAGAATCTTCTCTTTCTTCGGATTTCAAATACCCTCATGTTTTTTACTTACAATAGATCTGCAGTCAAAGAGAAAGTGCAACAGTTTGAAGAGATGGCATCTAGAGTGACGAGGACGAAAACACGTGCCATGGCCAAGAAGGTAAAAGCTAATATCAACCATTTAAACATTTATTCAATAAATATATTGAAAGAATATATGATTTTATGTCAATTTGGGAACATGTTTGTTAACAGGAAGAAGTGACAGAGAGCCAAACTCCTCCCGACAAAATATCTAAGCCGGTTTTATCTGCCGATACATTGAACAAAATGAATAATATGATATTCAATGGGAAACCCCAACAGACACTGGTGAGATTGATATACATGATGCTATATTTTTTAAAGACCATGCTTAATGTCGCCGTAGGTCGCTCGCCAGGTCTAAATGTCTCCATCTTAGAGTTCAATTTCGATTCCCCTTCAGGTCAATGTAAAAAATGGACTTCCTACGTCATTTCAGGTCTGGATATTAGGGTACCCTCGTTGTTTCAGAATACCGTAATGAAAACAGTTAAGCTACTTAATTTGGGAACTAAAAAATCAAATGATGTTGACCATTTTTTATAATTACGTTGTATCACGAAAAAAAAGCACTTTAAAAAATCCGTTGTTAACTTGCGGAAGTCCATTGCAAATTGCTCAGTATCTGTAAAATCTGCTGTGCCCTACACAATCGGCTACAAATTCGCAACCATTATTTTACACATTTCTAAGAGTCTAAGAGGTCGTGACAAAAATATTCACGAGCTTCCGAATGCTTGATATTTCAGTATGTTGAAGTACTAAGAGTATTATACATCACTCAGTACCCAGAGCGGACGTCAGGTGCAAGAACGCCTAGTAGCGGCGGGGTTATAAAAATCGTAACACTTTGGTGCTGTTTAATAGATTATAATTGGTGAAACATTCTTAAATTATAATCATGAAATGCAGCGACTCAGCAGATATGAAAATGAGCTATGAAAAAAGAATCTTAATAGTTGAAAGTTCGTTTATATATAAGTATATAAACTAACTTTCGAGTTTTATTAAATACTGAGACTTTAATTTAATGGAAGAATCACATACAGTTATTGCTAGAAGTTTGTTTCGCGCCACCGCTACTCTTACAGTATACTTTTACAACCGGTTTCTGAATTAATAAAAGTTCTAAATTATTCTCAATTACTTTTTTACTTTTCAGAAGGCAAAAAAACACTAGTTCTTATCAAACTGCTATAGACTAGTCATTAAAAAATCAGAAAACCTGTTTAAGTTTAGTTTGAGACTTCGAAACTTTAAGTACTCAATTCAAGAATTAGGTGTTAGCACTGTCAACATACTGAAATATCAAGCTTTCTAATGACATAGCCGTATATTAATAGACGGCTATGTCGTGATAAAAATATGATTTAATTTCAGTCTCAAACCTTTAAAACACGTGCGTAAAACCTTATAATAATGCCCATTACAAAAATGATGACCAGTATTTGAGTAAATGAGATCTTTTCGCTCACCTGGAACAGATACTGAGTATAGTGTAGTTACTCATTTGAAGAAAATATTCTCTGGTTTTTATTTATTTCATGCATCCTTTACAAAAAAGCCTATTCTAGAAAATAAATTTGCTTCAAATAAACTTAGAAATACAATAACACTCAATTAAATGTATAAGTTTTATAGATATTATAATTCAGTTTTATTGTGTATTAAATACTAGATTTCGAGTTCAGCGAGCAAACCCCGAGCGAATATAGTGACATCAGTGAAATCATTCATACCCTCCTCAACTTCCAAACTAAGCGCCATCAGCAAAGCTAAAGAAGCAGCTGAAGAGAGTTTGAAGAGTGAGAAGGAAGACGCCAGGAAGAAGAAAGAGGCTATGTTGGAAGCTAAGAGGGAACAGCAAAAGAGGTAATTATTAGTTAAAGCTTTAACCTTTTTTAAAAAAACAATATTTTCCTACCTCTTTTTCTAAATAGAGATGTAACATATAGCTGTTTGAACAGATACCGGACATTCTGTCAACATTATAGCCCGATATTCAGCAGAACATTAGAAATTAAATAAAGGCTATTTGCGGAGGTTTTACCTACTGTAATGTATTCTCTGCATTCAAATTATTGAAAAAAAAATTTTTTTTTTTAGTTAGAGCCTTGTCCTGTTATACATAAAAATGTTGCCAATACCTGTAGAGAGAGAGATATGAGACTATTATATAAATTTTTACATGTACTTAGTTTATGACATGGGTAGGGAGTTTCACTATTATTTTGACATTTTAACCATTTTATAAATTTATTGAAAACATTTACTTGCCAATGATATATAACAACACACATTGAGAAAGACAATGTCACAAACTAAAAACGACGTATTTTTACTTTTGGCAACATTTTTCATTGTTAAGTATAAACTTTAAAATGCAAAGATCACTGTGGACGTAGTTTGCATACAAATTGCTAAGTGGTAATTGATAAGTTGTTTAGAGGGGCGGGCGGATTACAATTTTTTAAATTTTAAATGCTCATTACTGAAAATCGTATTTTTTGCATTGTACGATATTTTACATAGCACGACCAATAAAACATTGACAGTGATACTTTTGGGTACTGTTTCATCTCGTTGCCGCTTTATTTGTTATGACACGTCTCATGTCCATCTTGTGATCGGTACAGGAAACGCGAAGAGAAAATGGCGGCGGCGGCGGCGGCGCGCTCTTTAGCGGAGAGGGAGCGGCTGGCGGCGCTGCACGCGGCCGCGCGCGACCGCCTCGAGAAGCAGGCGCACGCCGACCTGGGCCGGGCCGAGCGGCTGCGGGAGGCCGAGCGGGTTAGTTACTTCAGTAGTTTCGCCGTCATTGACGGACAAACGACCAAACAAAGAAACTTTCACATTTACAATATTAACTAGCTTTTGCCCGCGCTCGTCCGCGTGATATAGTTACTTTGGGCATCATATTTTCCAAAAACGCTGTTGTTTTTTGAGCTGATGATGAAATTACCTTGATGTTTAAGTTCGAAGATAGTACAACAAAATACCAACGAATGTCCAATATGTTTCAGCACTTTATCTTTGAAACTTTAGAGATATTAATCCGATTCAATGCAATCTATATATATAAAAATGAATCGCAAAATGTGTTGGTAAGCGCATAACTCAACAACGCCTCGACCAATTTGGCCAAATCTTTTTTTAAAATGTTCGTTGAAGTTCAAGGATGGAATTATTGCTGGAAAAACCCTAAAAATAGCCCTTTTCTTTTTCCCATACAAATGATTTGTAACTAAAACGTAGTCAATTTGAGCTTTATTGCTATGGTATAAAGTTCATATTAAATTACAAGCACTCACTGTTGTCTAAGCAATGTAGGTGTGTTCCTAACGTCAAAGATTTTTGACAGGACGAAGTCTGTCGGGTCAGCTAGTTTTAAATAAAGATGAAAATAAACAGTTCTGAAGTTTACAGAAAACTTAATCGAAAACGTAATCTATGCAAAATTCTTTGAAAGAAACGTTACCGCAGATTACTTTAGAATAAACGCCATTTAGAACACAGCGCCATCTATTGGGTGTATTTGCAACCTATATGTCAAACGATAATGAAGAATTTTATTTATGAATCAGTGTACACCGCCTTCTATGAGAACTTCATAAAACTAAACAATAAATAAACACTTGCTAAAGAAACAATTAATTAGAACATTTTATTTGTTTACAATCACGACATAAGTTAATAATTGAGATGATAACTATCCTATCCAGTAAGTTAGACCAAAATACGGGTAAATGTGAAATTTGATAGAAATCGGTTCAGTAGCATTGAAATTTATTAGCAACATACATCGTGACACAAATTTTTTATATGTATAGATAGGATATATATGGCGCGTCGTGGTCGCTGTTTTATGGCTCTAATGAAAACGGAATGAGAATGAGCGCATTGCGAAATCCGTCTCGTGGCTATGATGCTATTCGTCCGCAACGCGTTTTATTAGGTTAGATTAGAGAATTACAAACGACACACGGACCGAGCGAGCAAAGTGAGCGTGTCGCGTTAATCGATTTATGCTCGGAACTCGTCGTGCCTTTTCTTCATTGCCACAACGCATAATACGGAACAGAACGCGTCGTGAGGGTTTCCATTAGAGCTATAGTTCTTTCTGCGATGGCCACAACGCTTTGTGAATTATTCTCAATAAGCGATTTAGATCTCAAAATAGCGTAACATATACACACCGCCGCCAGGGGGCATTATATTTAAAGCGTGTTCCAATTTCACATTTTAAATATAATGCCCCCTGGAAATTGCCCATAGCATAAGGGGGCGTCCATAAATTACGTGAGATGGTTAAGGGGGGGAGGGAGTCGAGTCAAATCTCATCTAATCTCACGTTGGAGATAGGGGGGGTCTCGGCAAATATCACGCAATTTTTAAAATAAGGCTCGGTGCGGGGAATCCCTCATAGAGTGACAAGTCTAAGGTTAAGATCATTCACTAATTCGTTGGAAAGAAAATAATTTCATTCGTACTTTGACATTATACATCACTCCTGATTGTCAAACCACTATACTCGTTTTATACCAAATAGCTCAATTTAATTTGAATTTACGGTACAATGTAGCCCGTCCTTTGTTTTCGCGCCACTGTCAGCTGAACGTGTGACTCGATGAATGAGAGCGTACGAGCTGAGTGCAGCGACACACGGACAGGTTCCAACCTGCTTTGTTTATTCATGCAAATGTTTTACTCGATTCTTCATATGATCTACATATGATTCTTCACGACCGTTTTCTGTCACCTCCATACCCTATCACTCAGGGTGATGGACACTTGAAAATTCCGGACTTTAAAAAGCATGACGGAAAGTCATTTGCTCCATTTCTAATACGCCACTGCCTACCGATTCAACCGCTGAATGCCTTCATTAGCACGCCTTATGATCTCTATTGCCCAAGTGTACATGATGATTTAGAAAAAAGATGCTGTAGTACATGCGGTATTTACTTTGCATCTATCACAAGAGCTGCAGAGCACAGGCGTGCAGCCCACATTGCACCAACTAAGCAAGCGCGTATATTGCGCAAAGTACGACCCGCACGGATTGTCACAAAACGAGCTAATGAGTTACTGTGCGCAAGTGCCAACGGCTTAGAGTGGCTGGATCAGAACGAAGTTGAAGGAGCAGATGATTTTACTAAAAATCATATGGACATGCTGGTTCCAATAGTCTCTCTCGAGACTGTGCATGATTCTCCATGGACTGAATTAGAGTAGATATTCCTTTTTTAATCGCAGTAGTTACGAATTAAGTATTCTATTGTTTAATCTTTATTACACTTGTAGCTCTCAGCAATATTGATTACTAGTCTCTAACTAGTCGTAAATAAAAGTACGAAGCGAATTATTTTTTTTTCTTTTTATTAAAAAATCCAACGTGTTTAAATAAGAAACCCACATTTTGAAAAATCTCACGTGAGATTTGGGGATGGGGGAGGGGATTGAATAAAATCTCACGACATCTCACCAGGGGGGGAGGGAGGGTCAGAAAATTTGAAAAAACACCTCACGTAATTTATGGACGCCCCCTAATATAATGCCCAAGAAACCGCGTTAACGGAGACTCTGAGGACGTGCCGTCATTTGTGGGGTAAAAAAATGGTATTTTCAGTAAAAACATAAATTAGCTTCTGCAAACTGACCCTTATTATCCATTAAAAATCAAATAAATCGTTAAGATTATTTTGCACTTTGAATGTTTCCCGCGCTTTTCTTAGATAGTTTTACCTCTAGTTTGCCCACAAATGACGTCACGCGTTCTGATTGGTGTTCCATTTGACGTGAGAGTAGAAATATTTAAAAAATATATTTTTATAATTGTTATTTAACATAGTTATTTAACAAATATTTTTTTATACTTTATGAACTTCTTAACCACATATATTAAATCTTTATTGTAGTTGCTATCCTATCCCCATTATAGTTTTATTATCCAAGGGACTAATTCTTTTCCTTCGTCATCAATAACTAAAAGAATGACAACAACATATGTGTGTTGTACAGAAAAAGCAGGAGTTGGCACGTAAAGTGGCTGAAACAGAAGAGAGACGCAAAGCGGAGGAACAAGCGAGACAGCAACGACTCGCCGATGAACAGCGACGCGCCGACAACAACCGCCGGAAACAGATGGAGGAGGCCGAGGCGTGAGTATACTGTGATACCGAGAACCTCCAATAGATGTCGCATGAAAGACAGCGAACTGTAGCCAAGCATCTATGATTTTGCATAGATCGTTTTAACAAAAGCAATTCATGTATGCAAATCCTAAGTAACAACCAAGTGTTCGATCTGTGAATTTATACTTTGATTAGAATAATTTTCTTTATAATAAAATAGTTATCGGATTAATCTTGGCAAGTTGTAGTGTCAAATATTATGGAAAAAAATCCAGAACTTCTAATTGCAAGAAAGATGGTATAACTTTTCACCAGTAAAATAAATTTTATTTGTATTTTTATCTTGTAGAATTCAAGTTTGTTATATGTAAATGACGGTAGTAATTAATTACAAGATATGAACTTGAGATCGCGGCTGTCTGCGTGCAGTCGAATAGACGAGCTCTTTTGTACCGGTTGTTTCATTACGTTCGGCTCCTACTCCCACAATTGTAACAAAGTTATAGGTAACCAAAAAAATTCAGCATGCATTGATGTCTTCTTGAAACCCATCCCTTTATTACTAAAATTGTGTATTCATTTAATTCTGACGAAGACACGTGTGACACTAGTATTGTTACTGCATGCTTTTTCTAGGTATGATCGATATCGATATTTCCATATGTAAACAGTGCACAAATTAGTACACAAAAGTACTACCAATATTTATCAATATACCTACAGTACCTATATTTACTTTTATATTTTTCAATTTTTATATTTTTGGCCAAAATTAACCCTTTTTGAAGATTTAACTTTTATGTATGTTTTGTGTCTCAGAGCATTTTGTCGTAGCTTTAAATAAGAAAGTAGCAGGTAAACCGGTGCTGCAAGAAATGTAAAAATGGTGATTGAGAACTTAATAAACAAATCTAATGAAATATATTTTTAATGACATCTCATAGTAACATTAAATATCGATCAATTTTATGATATGGGTTCCCCATCCATCACTACGGAATACGTGTACTTGTATTAGCCAATAGCGTTGCTACAGTTACCTCGCCCGCCACCTACTAAGATAAGCTAAGATTGGCATCTTTATTCTTTTTTTTATAAAATAGTCATCATGCGGAATCTATTAGAGGTTGCCTGTATTCCCAACTGAGGGGGTCATTACCCCCGCAATGGACATCTCAATTGCGGGGGTAATGAAAAATATGGGTATATCATTTCTGTAGTCTAACAGGACAATTCCTCAAGAAAGGCTAGATAACACAGAATATTTTCTATTATTTACAGGATGAAGAAAGAGGCGGCGATAATGGCGAAAGAGATAGAGAAAAGACAAAAGGAATACATAGAAAAACAGAAGTTAAAACATCGATTGGAAATGGAGAAGCGTGAGTTTATTTCTTTTTTAGCATGTGGTTTTGTGCCCTATTAACTAGAATATCCGTTAATCGGATTTATTTAGTCACAAATACATTGATATACGATCGACCCTAAGTCTTAGCAATGGCGTTTTAACTTGGGCATCGGCTAAGGGGCTGAATTATTGACTAAAAGTAATCTTTGTATGCTCAGAATAGTCCTGCCTATTCTGATGGTGATCAAATGTATAATTAAAATTCGCAATAACTATAAAGTGTAAAATACACCGAACTATATTTTTCTCATACATGTCGGCAATTATACGTCGCGCTTAGAAATTTAACCTTTTTTACAGGCACGCGAGCCACATTAATTATTTTACTATGTAATTAATAACTATGGCAATTGAAGGTAATTTCATTTGTATTTCGACATGATATTTCCGTGTAATGTTATTGAAAAAAATAGGAAGAAAATCTAGTACTGTATATAGTAGATTTTATTGACTCAAACAAGATTTTTCAGCCCCAACTGCTTAGATGATATTGAATTTGAATATATTTGTTGGTCAGTGCGCACGCCGGGCACGCCTGGTAGATGCTTACTGGTAACAGAACCGACGTACATGGCGGACGGATTCCAACATCTCAACTCTGATGAGGACGAGGAACCAGAGGACAGACCGGTGCCCAACTGGAGTACATCCAAGGTATTTATTTTTTGTGGAGAATTACGAGATTCTTGCGACAACAAATTGATGCATGTGATGAAAAAGGTTACATTAAATTTATGTATAAGCACTGCAAATCGCTAATGCAACTGGCTGCCATTTTGATAACGTAATTGCGTTCAAAAATGAGTATCGTTAAGGAATAAACACTGGTTTATAAGTACACTTATTGAGTTAGGTTGTGTTGAGATCGCACAATTTCTTTTTTATGTTTTTGTTGGGTTCTATTGTTAAATAGGCTTGTGTCCTACAAGTAAAAATACAGGTTTTTGTTATATCTTCGAAAAATATAAACCATTTTAACTTATAAATGTTTAACTAAACAAATTTTAAGTCACTGATTTGGAAAATATTACGCTCTGAAAACTTGAAAAAAGTAGAGAAAATCTACTACAAAAATTTGCTAAAATACATAAGGCATTAAATTAGATATAAAATATGTTACAAATTTCATTATAACAGTTATAAACATAAACGCACAAATAACAAAGATATTACAAAAATTATCCAGACGCCCACACATTTTTCGCTACTGTAGCACCGTGTGACGTCACTGAGTGCGTTGAATTTGTAGGGAGCGTTTTCGGCCAACTAGCAGCAGTTCTACAAACACAGCACCGTATGTCCGAAACTATTAATCACAGACATGCTGTTACTTCGACATTATTTCTCAGATGTTAATTGACTATTTATTTATGAAATAAAAAAAAGTTGTCAACTAGCCTATTGTGTTGTTACTTGTTATGGTTAACTAAAATTGTAACTGCTATTATGATAATAAATACCTCAAATAATACCTTTCTGTCAGCTGATGACAAGTAGGTGTCGATACTTTTACTCGATACCGTATCGGTCATGAGTGATCAACACTACTGATAGTCAATAGCAATACTCTGTTAAGGAAGAAAGAGAAGTAGGTCGAGGCATGGGGCTGTCCATTAATCACGTGAGGCTCGAAAGGGGGGGAGGGGTCCATAAAAAAGTCACGAAATATCACAAGGGGGGAGGGGGGGTGAAGTAACATATCACGTGTATTTATTTTTTCGACAAACGCGCGATACTCAACCGAAAAGCGGCGTAAATAAGTGTAATAAAATTATTTTTTCGTCAAACGTCTACCTCTAGACATTATTGTACTCTTTAATTGTCTATAATACAATTAGAAAATTAAGATTCATTGTAAGTACTAAAAATACACGTGATATATGGGGAGGGGGGTAGTCTTAAACCTCACTATGTATCACTATGGGGGATTGGAGGTTAAAAAATGGCACAAAAAAACATCACGTGATTAATGGACGGCCCCCATGAAAAGCGATGCATATAGAAAGTATTTAGCATGTAGTTGTATTATTTCAAAATTTTATTGAATGGAATAATGGATTATTGAATGGTATGATGGAGACGCTACACTTGTGTGAATTTTTCATGAAATAGACTTTAGACACAGAGTAAACAGTTTTATGCACGCGAGTTTTTGATTACTTACTATTCGGTTTTATAGTATCAATGGCAAAATTGCATGGTGGTATCGAAAGAAAAGTATCGAGCAAGTACTTTTATTTACTCGTATTGATCATCCCTTCACGGGCTGACAAAAAATATTCGCGTGGTGCGTTCTATTAGGACCGATGCAATGATTCTGTTTCTATTTTTTTGTTGAGATAAAACATTGAGTTTTTCGAAAGTATGAAATAATTTAATATTCTATTGTGTTATTTATATTACTGAAATATTTTTAATTCTTTAATCGAAATATGACAATTGGTTATAAACACACACTACCGCAAAGATTATATTAGACAATATAACAATATTAGGACGTAATGAATTATCTATGACATTTTATGTTATTCAAATAATCATTCATTTCAAAAATTGGCATTTGAAAATAATTGTAATAGATTAAATATTAAACAATAGGGAATATGCACATTTTTGGAAAATGGTTTTGTATGATAATTTACATCGATATATTGTCACGTTTTATTTATGTTAAAATAAATAAAAAGAAGACAAATAAGATATTAGAATTTAATTTTAAAATGAATTTACAATCTTGTAGCGAAAAAATAAAATATAAGCGGGTCGTGGGTAGGTACGAGGTCGATAGCGAGTGCACCGTAACGACACTCCCCTGGATACGTAGCTTCTCCACCCGTTCCAGAAAACGATTATACTTCTGTCCAGTGTTCTGCGCCGGCGTTCAGTAAAATAGGGATCACCTTGTCCACAAGGGCAGCAACATTAAGTGGGTAATATAACCCCAACGAAGTTCCTGAAGAAGCCAATTAATATTCTAATTAATATCAAGGCCGATAAATCTGGTACTGCCAGCTAGTTTTATCCCAAGGACTAAGAAGCAGGCGAAGCCGGGTGTGACTACTAGGCTACTAATTACGAGTACCCGGAGTGAAAAGAAAAGCATTATAATTTTACTGGGATGAAGTGGCAGTTATAATAGAAAGCAGTAACGGTTACAAAACTAACTGATGGCACAATTACTATTCTACTTTACTAATACTAAATTTCTAACAATACAGCATTAAAAATATAAAATGACTATTATAATATCAGTGTATTCATTATTTTTGCAACTCCTAGATTTAAATAATATTATAAAGTAACCCAACACACAACTTTTCACATTATACTACATCTTTAAGGAAATCTAGTCTAACAGTTTCAAATGATGTATGCGGAAGCAAAAAAAAAGCAGACAAAATACCATTTACAGTTATATATTTGCACAACTTACCCAGTACGGGATAAACACAAACACTATGCAATTTAAATTCGTTGAATAGTAAATTCTTAAGGAACACAGCTTTGAGAACAAGTTTATTAAATAGACGACGAACCAACATGAACGTTAAAATTCAAAATTATAAGTATTAGCGAGCGTTAAGTACATGTGTAACTTATCAATGTTTGGTCGTGCCTGTGGCAGGAGCGCGGATCAGCTGGCCGCTGTCAGTGTCGCTACTCTCCCCGCTTACCTCAACCCGCACAGTCCTTGTCAAACCAGTAGCTACGTAAAGTAATTAAATAACAAAACTTTCACTTTGTTCGTATGTTCGCTCGTAAAATAATAGTAAGTTATTTTTTGTTAATAATTATTTAATATCAAAGATGCCGTTAAAACTTATTAATATAAACTACTATAGTTTGTATTTAGGTTTTTTTTATAAATAAAGTTCTTTTTTTATATACATAAATTGAAATAGCTATTAGGAGAATTACGAACGTTACAGTATTATTTATTTTATCATAAATAAAACGTGACAATATAACTGTATAAAAATACCCGGCACCGAAAAACTAAAATTTTGTGACATAAATCATTGATGAACATAAGTAATAGCTACGAGCAGTTTAAACACCGGAATTTTTGACGCTCTCGTCGTGACGTCAATGTACACCACTAGAGATACGACATTTTAAATCAATATTGATTTTGAGCGATTGATTATTATTCAATTACCCAAATCGATTAACAACTAAACGATTTTTTAAAGTATAATAGACTTTTTTAATAAATCATAAAATTTACCAAATTGGTGAAATAAAAATAAGAGTCTAAATCATCATTTAAATTGTAATCAGTTGTTTATTTTGCGACATAATGCATTGATGTTATTACATCGATGTTAACTTTTTGTAACAACGACATTCCTATACGTGTACATTTTCGTCACATCCGCTCTGACAAGTAGCATGGCGTTTGAATATTTTGAAGTTACCGCATTTATTTTGCACTTTTTAATAATCATTTTCAAGACGAAAACGAACTAATGTTGAAAAATATTTAGATAGACTTTATACTGAAGCAATAACGATTGTAATAAAATATATTTAACCCTTTTTTGAATCAGATGCATATTCCCTATTAGGCCACTGTTTCGTTTTCACTAAAAGATAATCTTAGAGAATTAACTTCTCTGTGTTTTATTGTGATTATAAAAATCGATATGTATATGACGGTTGTGGTACGTTGCAGTGCCGCAAGGCGGCGCTGTGCGTGCAGTCGCTGGTGGCGGCGGCGCGCGTGGACCGCTGGTTCGGCGTGCGGCCGCAGACGCCCGACCTGCGCCACATCTTCCCCGACATCGAGCGCGCGCGCCTCAAGCGCACCTCCTCCGCCGTGTGGCGCACGCCGCCCCCCACCGCGCACTAGCGGGTACACTCGCACTGCCCCTATATATATACATATACACCTATATACCGCCGGTTCGGCGTGCGGCCGCAGACGCCCGACCTGCGCCACATCTTCCCCGACATCGAGCGCGCGCGCCTCAAGCGCACCTCCTCCGCCGTGTGGCGCACGCCGCCCCCCACCGCGCACTAGCGGGTACACTCGCACTGCCCCTATATATATACATATACACCTATATACCGCCGGTTCGGCGTGCGGCCGCAGACGCCCGACCTGCGCCACATCTTCCCCGACATCGAGCGCGCGCGCCTCAAGCGCACCTCCTCCGCCGTGTGGCGCACGCCGCCCCCCACCGCGCACTAGCGGGTACACTCGCACTGCCCCTATATATATACATATACACCTATATACCGCCGGTTCGGCGTGCGGCCGCAGACGCCCGACCTGCGCCACATCTTCCCCGACATCGAGCGCGCGCGCCTCAAGCGCACCTCCTCCGCCGTGTGGCGCACGCCGCCCCCCACCGCGCACTAGCGGGTACACTCGCACTGCCCCTATATATATACATATACACCTATATACCGCCGGTTCGGCGTGCGGCCGCAGACGCCCGACCTGCGCCACATCTTCCCCGACATCGAGCGCGCGCGCCTCAAGCGCACCTCCTCCGCCGTGTGGCGCACGCCGCCCCCCACCGCGCACTAGCGGGTACACTCGCACTGCCCCTATATATATACATATACACCTATATACCGCCGGTTCGGCGTGCGGCCGCAGACGCCCGACCTGCGCCACATCTTCCCCGACATCGAGCGCGCGCGCCTCAAGCGCACCTCCTCCGCCGTGTGGCGCACGCCGCCCCCCACCGCGCACTAGCGGGTACACTCGCACTGCCCCTATATATATACATATACACCTATATACCGCCGGTTCGGCGTGCGGCCGCAGACGCCCGACCTGCGCCACATCTTCCCCGACATCGAGCGCGCGCGCCTCAAGCGCACCTCCTCCGCCGTGTGGCGCACAGCCGTCCCACTACGCACCGCGCACTAGCTGTGGTACACGCGCCTCGCATCGGTTAATTCAAAAGAAAGGGCCATTATGTATCGATACAGGACCACGCGGGCGGAATGCCAGACATATACTAGATATATCTGTAACTGTATACTGTTGACCTGATATTGGCTACTGACCGTTTTAAGAAAAGTATTTTACAACTTTCAAACGATCATGTTAAACCACTATCAGCACTATCGGGTGTCGGTTGGTCTCCAAGAAAAGATGTTGTTAAATAATGGAAAAATATATTTTTATCCATCAAATTGTATTGTCCGGTGAAAACGAACAGTCGTGTGGCATTTCAAGCCGTGACGACGACATTTCAATTGTCACGTGTACTGTTTGTTGCACTTCCGCGTAGGCATCGATGTTGAGTTTATTGAAATGTGACGTCACACGATGCTCCGCCGTGGCTGCCCACGTTATTTATTGTTCTTTCCATGACAATTTATTTTAAAACAACAAAAAAAATAACTTCCATGTTTATACAGAAATAAATAAATACTACATAGTTATTGTTTATATGCCTAGTCTAGCCATAAATTCTGTTACTAGCTGTTTACATACATTTAAAAAAACATTAATTTGAATTTCGTAAATTAACTTCTAAGATAAAAAAAGTAAATACATTTCATTCCCGCCATTATTGTATGTTTTTTGTTTAGAAATTATTTGTAT